TGAAGTGATAGTGAAAGAAGAACACTTCGATGAATCCATATCGTAAGATGATACTTAATTAACTCACCAGCAATATAACTCTACATCGGAAGGAATTAAGCAATGACGAAAGATGACGTGTCCTCTACTGGGGTAAGTCTTTACTTTGACAATTATATCACTATTATATTTTAAACATTAGGACAAGCTATAGGAGTGATCAGGCCTAGGTCTAGAATAAGATGTGCTAGCTATAAATTTATTTTCTCTTTAATTTCCTTATTGCCATGGACCCCATTACTTAATGCTGATCAATAATATATACGATTTTTAAGGTCGGAAATGGCTCCTTTCACTGATAGAAATTAATATATTCCTCTGCGATTCCTGAAACCGAAATTTTTATTTCATAATTGTTTTTTTAATATTTTTTGGGACAGTCAAAGTATTATAATTTCAGTCAGAAGTTTGCAACGCAGTGGCTTAGTTGTTGGTTTCTGAAATTTCAATTTGTCGAACAAATTTTCATATAAATATATATAGAAATCAGCTCAAGGAATGGTATTATAATATTAGTCAGAAGCTGAAAACACAGTAATGGAGTCATTTCCGATCCCATAAATCTATATTCTTGATCAGCATCAACAGGCGAATCTTTCTAGGCATGAACAGAAGAAAATAAATTTTTCGATATTTTTCTAATTTAAAATTGGCGGAAATTTTGATTTTTTTTTACATTTTAATCTGAGTATGCAGGTTTATTGCCCTAATAACAACTAACATGGGACTGCTTTCCGAATCAAAATGAATTCTTTTTTGGCTAAGTTATGAAGTTGTTAAAAAATGATTTTTTAATATATTTTAAGCTTAGTTACGATTGATTTCTGATATTATGCTATAAATTGATTGTAAACTTTTATATATAAACTTTGTATTCCAGAAGTTGGTTTCTTTTCTTGTTACTAAGAGAAACTAAGCTAAAGCCATACTTTTTCATTGGGGAGCTTCAAGAAGCCTTGAGGAGACTTCTAATTCCATCCCAATCGTAGGTGTGGATTCTGGGTATCTAATGTCTACTTCAAGAACTCCAAATTATAGGAATTTTCTACCTATCCCGGAATATCGTATAATCAACCCCTTATTCTCTTATCTGCCATTCGCCAAAGACCATACATGACCCAACTATTAGGACAACTATCGCCTGGTGGCCATCAGTTAGTGCCTGCCTCCTGGTACCACTTCCACTTCCTCTTCCAACTCTGGCCAAGTTGGCGACGATGAGCGTATGAATGATGCAGGGACAGGCGCTCTCTCGGATTCAGATTCACATTCAGATTCAGCTTCAGCTTCAGCTTTGGTGACTCTGATTCCGATTTCGATTCCGATTCTGATGACGGAATGCCATGTTAGATGGCAGCAAACACGCCGCTCGATGGCAGGCCGACTTAATTGCATATTTGCATAGGCGCACAGCACAAAAACACACGAAATGCAGCCCGACACACACACCACACACCACACACGGCACACACACTCCCGGTGTAAGTAGAACACGACAGAAAAAAAAGGCAGCGACGCTTGGGCGCCTGCCTCTTACGGAATGGCAGATTTCGAGGGTGTGGCTGCACCAGGGAACGGGAGAAGGTGGAGCACAAAAGTGGGGAAACCAATTTGCATGCAGCACCAGTACCCAGTACCCAGCACCCAGCACCCATCACCCAGGTCTCCATCCCCAGAGCCAAAAGCCAGAGAAACTGCAGCGAAACTGCAGCGCAAGACCAAGGAAATATGCCACCTATTTTTGCTTTTTTGCTGCTCAGCTCAACTCTCTCTATGCATCTTGTTGGAAAACCAATACCAATCCAATTTAACCCAATCCAGCCACATATCCGACCATCAATCCGGACCCCTGCATCTATCAATGCATCGGGCCAGGCAACAGCAACAGCAACAGCAACAGCAACAGCAACAGCAACAGAAAAAAGCAAAAGCATTCGCCAATCCATTCATTTCCATAGAAATGTGCGAAGATTATATGTTTCGTCAAACGCGAAATTGCGCACGAATATGCCGGGGCCACCGACTGCACCCCCTCCAGGTTCTCTACCGAGGAGGAGAATGGGGGTTCCCCCTCCTTGGTGTCATGCTTGCTTGCTGGTCGGTCGATGGTGCCCGAGTTTCTTGTTTTTCTTTTTCCTCTTCCCATCTCTTGGTGTGGCAGCCATTGTTGTTGTGTTCGCAGCCGAAAACGGGGCGTATGAGTGCTATTTCTGCATCTGCATCTGCATCTTCCTCTGATGGCATTCCATTTGGTTCTTTTTTGGGTTTGGCCAGAACCATTTATAATAGGGGTTAAGGTGTCTACATGAAGATCTCTGCAGTTTTTAACAAAACTGCTAATTATTTAATTACCTTAAAAGACTTTCTTCTTACAGCACAATGTTTTTTGCAACAATAAATGAATGTAATCGAGAGATTTGAAGGGATTTAAAGCTATAATAGTTGTGCTAATATTTTAAAGACTTTACTATCATTAATTTGAAATACCATATCATATATTTTTATAACAAATCAATAAAGATATATAGGGAATTCTTCCTAAGTACCCATAGCCTAGATTCCAGGCATCCGAAAATGCAAAATCGATTGCCTTGGCACCCTGTTATTACTTTGAAATATTTAAGACGGATAATTCATCGCCAATCTGGATGGTATGAAACGAATTAGAGTGGACAAGTCACATGGGGGCTCTGTTGTTAATATTTTATGCCAATTTATTTTTCAAATTGCCATTACACACATACACACACACACTCACTCATTGGAGAGTGCAAAAAAAATGCTCATATTACTCGGTATCTACTTTGCATACCTTTGGAGCCGGTGTCTTCCTCCCACTCCCCCACAGGTGCTCCTCCCACAGAGCTACGTGCGATGATTGTTCCCTTTTGGATGTTACGACCTTTCTCGTCACTCTGTTTTCAAATGCTTTCCCTCCTTTCTCCAACTCCTGCTCCACCTTCTCCCGGTGAGAGCAGGGCCATCCCATTGTTTCCCTCTAGTTTTTGCCTCTCGTCTCTGGGGTCTTAGTTGTGGGTTTCACTGCAGCTCTTCTCCTTTTCTTTTTTTAGAGTAACAATTATTCCCTAACTGCACTTTAGCAGCACAAAATGTCAGACCCACTGAATGTTCATTATAAAATTCCATCGGCAGTTTCTTCACTCGTCGCTTTTCCCCAGCACACAAAACGAAGAAAATACTTTAGTAACGTTCGATATACGAAGCGGTGGAGGGATGTATGCATATACATATGTACATACATATGTACTACATGGGATGTACGATGTATGTACATAACGTATGCAAAGAATAGAAAAATTTATGACTGTGGCGAGGGCATTACGTGTCTGTCAAACATTTCCGCCAGAACCACAGCCAGAGCTCCATGATGTTCGCCATCACGAAAAACGAACCAAATACAACAGCAAAAGCGTATTACAGCGAAAGGGAAGACAATTTATGTAAGACGAACATGGCATACCCTTTCACTAGCTAAAAAGAGCCACAGCTATGCAAAGAAAACCATAATTTAAGCTTGGTAATCTTTTCTTCGTTAGTTTTGATTAGATTAATAAATCTATACAATAAACAATTCAAAAACTTCATCCTTTTTCACAATTTTAATTATAAACCAATTTCAAAATTCTGACAAATTAAGTAAAATCAGTCAATACTTTTTATACTATTCTCCGCTCCATAACAAAGTAATAGTAACCCCTGGAAGGGCATTAAAAAGCCCAAAATGTACAAAAATGAACAAAAAGTAAAAACGAGTACAAAAAGTTCTTATCTCGGACGCGAGAGGTGCGCACACACAAGAAAAAGGAGTGCAAAAACTTGCAACCCAGGGCCAAAATCCAAAAACCTGGCCAAAAAGGGGCTGTGACGGGCTTCGGGGGAGAGAGAGAGACAGAGAGAGAGCGCCAGAGAGGGAGGGAAAGAGTGGGGGAGTGACGGTTAACCCACCATGGCCGCCATCATCACAGCCCCGCACGAAGCACATTCGCGACTCACGTCCAATGTGCACCGCGTTTTGATTCGTTTCGCTTTTTGCATGACTTGAGATCGTAAAATTCATATTTTTTTTACCTTTTTGTTTAGCTCTTCTCTGTTTTTTTTTTTATTTTTTATTATTATTTTGTTGCTTTTGTTTGGCCTTTGATGGCTGCGTATGGAGAGGCCAGCCAACGCTGGTCATAATATTTAACTTTGCCCCTCGCCTCATCCGGGGTTGCTTTTCATTAGGTCCTCTCCACCAGCTCCGCCATGTTGCCTGGCTGCCTGGCTGCCTTTCTGCCTGCCTGAGCCGCAGGAGCCAAAGCTGGACGTGGCGGGGACATCCACCATCTTGACTCGCCTCATTTGGTTCGTTATTGCTCATTTCTTTTCCCGGCTTGCCTGCCTGCCTGCTCGCCTGCCAGATTAATGGGTGCGATAAGGTCGCCGGCTGGTAGGTAGGTAGGTGTAGCCCTGGCCCAAGTCCAGACGCCAAAAGGCATCCAAGTGCCAGCCCAATATGGTAGCCCGCATGAGCTTTCTCACTGGAATGCGCACCGAAAGCCAAAAGGGCACTGGCACCCGGCTCCTCCGACCATGGAAGGCTTATCTGCCAGCGAAAATCTCCAGCCAATACCGCCCATCTTTTATGACTCACAATTTAAGAGAGGCAGAAGCCCAAAATTCAGTCAGTTAACTCTGGCCAAAACCGAAACTTGGAAACTTTAGAACCTAGAGCAAAACATTGACAAATCGATGCTATAAATATTTTTATGAACCAACGCACAAGGTCTTTAGCCACATGTCGTTGCAACCTTGAGAAAAATCCGCACATTTGACCCACTCTGTGGTGATCCATGCGTCATGGCAAGTGACCCTAATCCTTGTTTGCACAGCTGAAGCCGTGCTTCTTGAGTTCCAGATGATAAAAACAGCCGAACCAAAGCTGGCCGATTTAGTTCATCATGAAACGACTTGGATACGGATACGGATTCCTAGGTCTGCTGCTTCTACTTCACCTAATCGTTCTCGGAGCACAGGGACAGCGGATTCAGCCTCGAATAGTGGGTGGCACCACCACATCGCTCTCCAATGTGGGAGGCTTCGTGGTGAACCTCCGCTACGATGGCACTTTCTACTGCGGCGGCACCCTGGTGAGCAGCATGTACGTGGTGACGGCTGCCCACTGCCTGAGTGGCAACCAGGCCGGCAGGATTACGGTCCAGGGCGGCGTCAGCCAGCTCAGCCAGACGGGCGTGGTCCGTAGGGTGGCCAAGTACTGGATACACAGTGGCTACAGCAGCTCCAGCCTCAACTGGGACGTGGGCGTGATCCGGCTGCAGAGTGCTCTCACGGGTAGCGGGATTACCACGATTCCACTGTGCACAGTGCAGTGGAAAGCCGGCGACTATATGCGAGTCTCCGGCTGGGGCGTCACCCGCTATGGGAACTCCAGTCCCTCGAACCAACTGCGCACTGTGCAAATCCAACTGATCCGCAAGACGCTCTGCCAGACGGCCTACAGGAATCGGGAAACTCTCACGGGCAACAGTTTCTGTGCCCGATCTCCCGGCAGGGATAGCTGCACTGGAGACTCTGGTGGCGGAGCCATCTACAGGAGCCAGCTCTGCGGCATTGTCTCCTGGGGTCTCGGCTGCGCCAATGCCCAGTATCCTGGGGTCTACACGAGTGTCCATCGGGTGCGCAACTTCATCACCAGCTGCATGAAGAAGAAGTGAGCAGGACAGCCGGACCGCCGGATGCTGTTACTCTCTGCCTATTAATAGTTAGTTAAAATTTTAATTAAAAATCGTTAAGATCAAGTGCTGCCTGTTGATGAGCATCAGGAAGCCCTTGGCCCGGCCCCAAACCGGATGAGTGATGGGCCAATAGAGATATCAGATATCAGGCTTTGCACAGTGGTTGAATTATGTGAAGAAAGTGTTGGTAAACTATATTTGTAGTTGGGGATATCTGTCCCTCGATAGTAGCTACTCTTTTGAGATAATATATTAATTACAAAGTAAGTATCTATAAGATACATATCCCTGTACAACGATAATCGAACCAATGTTCCTCCTAGACAACAGCAAAGGGCCTGCCTGTGCCATCGATGAGTGGCCACTTCCGATTGTTGACTTTGTTGTCGCGCGCTAATTTCAAAAGCGATTGCTGCCTTGATTTGCATTCATTACTATGTATAAGGTAACATATGGCCAAGAAGGTTCCTGTGTGCGGCGGAAGGAAGCTGCACGCTGATCAGTGATCATTGACCACCGCCGTGGCACGGGTCACCCAGGTAAGCTTTCATATCCCGTCGCATGGGGCCGTCGCCGCCAACTGATTGCAGCTAATTTCAACTAAATTAAGTGCAGTTAAAGCGCCACTTAACACGTGCTGGACGCGGATCGCGGTGACAACGGACGGAGATCCAGCGGATCGCCTCATTTGCTTAATTGCATTTGAGACAAAATTGCAATTAAATAGCGCTATAATGATGGCAAACGCGATTTCCATAACGGAATGCCAATCAAACGCAGTTTTCAATGCATTTCATAGGCGTAATGAGCTCTGCCGTTTGATTAAGCACTTAATGGCCTCGAAATTAATACTGTCCTCTATGGAAATAAAAAAAAACTACAGGCAATTTTCCATATTAACCAAAGACCGGAAGGACGCAGGTCACCAGAGTTCCTGCCTGTGTCATTCAATTCAATTTGGCCAAGTAAACGGGGCCCGAACCCAAATATAAAGTGCTAATTGAGGCGGCAATAGAAAAACTTTGACCAATTTGCCAGCCGAAAAAGGTTTTTCCATCGACAGATTGACAACCACAAATACACAAATTATCCGAGGTGGAAACTGCCGCCTGCTGCCGCTGCGGCCGCTAATCAGCTAACGAAATTATTATTATTAAACTCGTTCGCTCATGCCGGCCAATTAGCATTCTGACGGCTCTTTCTGGCCAATACAGACAGAACCCATAACCAATAAAAGATTGAACGAAAACTTTGCCATCGACCAGGCATATCGACAATTGAATTGCAATTAAGCCGCTGGCTCAGGTGGGGCTGCGGTTGCTTATTAGTTTATTACATCAACAACAAATCTCAACAAACGCTAATTAAGACACAAATAATCGAACGTGCCAACACTGAAAGCCAATAATAAGGCGTATTGTGTGCCAAGGGGGTTGCCGCTCAAGGGAGCCACTCCACCGGCCAGAACGGGGTGGTTCTGGCCAGGCCAAGTCAGGCCAGGCCAGCGGTTGCTAATGGGGGGCGGCCCAATAAAGTTGTCCCGACCAGAAAGGACACTCGTGCAACACGACAAAGGACTATGCAAACGTCTGGAGTTTGATTAGTGATGAGAAATTGGCTTTTCTACTTTAATTTGTTTGAGTCTTAAACTTGAAATTAAGACTTGTGAAAAGATAAGACAACAAAAAACAGCATAATCAAGGTAATTCATCATTAAGAAAATCGAAGAACAGAAGCTTAAACTAGAGCCCACTTCCACACTAGTTAAGTTCTACATAATTTAAGAAATTTTTAAGAAACCAACACTAACTGATCTGAAATGGAATCTTTTCAATAAGTTTATATCCTAGCCTTTTTCCAACTATTTTCCACATTGCCTGCCCGACATATCCCTCAGACATTTTGGGATCTTTGGGTTTGCGTGAGTTGTTCGTTCGTCTGGAACAGGGATTGCTTTTGAAGTTAGTCCTGGAGTTGGGCCACCCACGGCCTGCGGTATTTGAATGACACGCCCAAATTGTCCAATTTGTGTGTGTTGGCAAAAGGCACACAAACACACACACACTCACACACACACACACACACACTTGAAGGGGAAAAGCTATGGGAGGGAGTTGGCTGTAACCCTTAGAGGAAACCAACCACCGCGCACAGCGAGCGACCGCAGCCGCAACCTGTAAAAAGTAAACAGCAGAGAGCGAGGGTGGTGTGTGCGGCAAATGGCGCGGCGCAGTGGCATGAAAATGTAACCGCAAATGTGGCGGCACTGGAAGCAGGAACAGTGGTTTCCCGGGACGAGGTGTAACGGTGACAGGAACAGGCGTTTGCTTATGTAGTTCCCGCTGTCGCTGTCGCTGTCTCTATAGTCCCTAGTCCCCAGCGTGTCCATGTCCTGGCAAGGGTCCTTTCTGCTACATTTCTGCTTTGCTTGAACCGAAGCACACACACACAGACACACACACACAGAGGCAGGAATCTTTAGCAGTTCTTTGGGGACCCCGGCCGGAACGGAAGTGAATGGCACATTATGTTGCCACTGTTGGACTGCTGTCGTCATCCGGCCCGGGGTCGAAAGGACGTCCCAACATGGCTTTTTGCGGGACTGTAATTGGATGGGAGTTGGCCCGGTCTCGGGCCTCCTCTAACTTCGCCATTATGTACTTTTACGCATTAGAGCGACATAATGGGGCGCTCTCTCCTCGAGGAACATCCTCCTCCTCCTCCTCGGGCATCGGGATTGGGAAACTCTGTTTAAGAAGAACTTGAAACACTCTCCACTGAGGTTAAAGTTTCCATCCATCGTCGTGACCAAGATGAGACTGCTTTTTACAGAGCAACTATTCGACAGAATGTGTAGACCGGCAGGGGAAGAAGGGTCACAAGGGTCAGGAGGGGACCCGGGGCACAGTCAACATTGTCATCATCAAAATCCCATTAGCAACGTATTCAAATGCGTTCGAGTGTAAAACAAGCCGCATTCAGTGCACGCACACAGAACACATCGGACACATTCGAGTGGAGTAGAGTTCGGCACTCATTCATTTACACTGACGACACATTACGCATCCGTTTGTCCAGGACTGCTCCTCCTCCTCCTCCTCCTCTTACTCATCCAATTTGCATGGAGTCGGGTAGATCCTTTAAAATCAATGGCAATCCTAGCCTACTTATAGGCCATGCAGCAGCGAGTCTAAACCCTGAACCCTAAACCCCAACCAGGAACTGGAGTCCAGTCCATCATCCAATCACCCGTTGTCCGTTGATTCCAATTACAAATCCAAATCCGAATTTCGTCGCCTCCTCCGTCCTGCTCCGCGTCCAAATGTGGAGCACTCAAATTAGCAGTTGCCTCTGGGAGGTGGAGCCCCAATATCGGGTGTGTGGAGGGGTGTGTGTGTGTAGAGGGGTGTATGCACATATGCCCAATATTTTTACCATTTCCATTACCAGGATTTGTAGACCAGTCCCAGCACTCCCTCTAATTTGTAAATTTGGTTATTATGGCAGGCCAAGTGAGTTGATTAGGTGTCGTGCTTTAGGAGAGTTTCTAAACAGAATATAAAAGTTGAGCAGACAAGAGAAAAGCGGACTACATGGCTTAAAATTGAAAGATGAGAAATTAATAAAATATATCTGTAGCAAGATACTGAAAGAATTGCTATTAAATATTATTAAACATTTAACATATTCTAAATCTAGTAAGCGCCCAAATCCAATTATTCAAAGGTTTTCCTCCTAAAATTCACAAGTAAAAACAGTAAATAGATTATAAGGGTCATGTGTCATTGACAATCATAAAATAATAATAATATTGTACATGACAGGGACAGGGTAATAGCATACATTTGAAATACATCTGGGTTAAACAATATAATCGTTATTTCCAAAAGCATTCCTCGCAAATCAATTGAATGGATTACTTAACGATGGCATTGATAATGATTCCCTTGTGTGTGGATGTCGACACGGAAGCATTATTGCGACATCCAGCCAACGACCCTGAAAAGCTTTAAAGCGAATTAGCGGACCACACGCGGCAGCCTTCCTTCGCCCAGCCTCCCTTACACCGCCCACTCACTCACTCGCAGACACTGGGAGAAATAAGTCTGAGTAGAGTATTAGGTATTAAATTGTGTTGTTATTACAATAACAAGAAAGGAGGCTTTCTTTGTGAAGCTCTTTATCCTTGCAGCCCGAATTAAATTCCCATCATAACTATTGGTTAATGCATTAATTTCAATTGAAATAAAACTGAAGCTCTCTGGAGTTTTCTCCCTGTGCCTGGACCACCCCCTTGGCATTCACTGACGAACTGACGAGCAATTGTTGATTGCAGCATCCACGGGAGTAGCGCAGGGAAGAAGTCGGGGAATCAGCAGGAGAGCATATGCCAAAGGTCCTTGAGAGGCAACTGGCATCCCGCTCGCTCTCCACGCTCCTGGCATATGCGTCGATTTTGATTTTTATTTGATTTGATTGCGGCGTCAACTTAATTAAGCGACCAACTACCAACAATGGGCAGCAAATTGAAACAGCAGTCGGGCATTTGAAGTTCCAGGATCAGCAGGAACAGGAGCAGGAGCAGGATGAGAAGGAGAAGGAGGAGTGCTAGAGGGCAAGACATTTGTAATTCCTTTTATTTCGCTGCCGCCAAAAGTCATTGAAACGTGTAATCTGCAGCACGTGCGCAGCGATGCCGCGACGGCATGCCTCAAAGGAGCACGAAATGCGATAGACGATAGACGTTAGACGTTAGACGAAGGACGCAGTCCTGGCTCTGGACTTTCGACTTTAAAGGGACGCCCCCGCACAACTCTTAGATCTTCGAGGTGGAGGTGCAATTAGCCGGCGGCATAGGTTGCCACCTACCGGATGAGCGGACAAGCAGACAAGGATGCGCGCCAGGATGAGCAGGAATCCGGCTGCCACCGACGTGGCCGTTCGCCGCCGCCTCCATGTAATTAGTGTCAGTTGCGAAG